GTCGATAAAACTGTTCTCATTATTATTAATAGAACTCGTTTCAAGATTGTTTTCATTGGAAAAGTATTCGAGTAAAGTAGTGCGATGAATGATAATACAAGTGCAAATATTGGCGATGAATGCGCTTTCTAACGAACTAAACGAAGAGTAACATCGGTTTTATACAAATCTCAGAAATCTGTTTCTACGCGAACTCTTGTGATGGATTTGATAAGGCATCGGAGATTGTGCGATATTAATGAATACCAGAAGAAAAAGAGCACATAGCTGCAAGGGGGAAAAAGGGGGTAAAGAGAAGGAAACGGAGAGAGAGAGGGAGAGAGAGAGACCTCGGAAGAAATCTAGCGAGTCCTCGACAGCGCGTTTCAAACATCTGCCGCCGCAGATATCTTTCCTCGCAGTCTCTCGCAGATTCATACGTTCCGCGACGACTCTGCCGTACAGATCTCGCGAAGCGAGATCATACACGGACGTAGAATAAGCGCATGTACGTGCGTCGTACACGAGGCCGTACGTACTGTGTGTGGTACATAAATCATAAGCGCCAGTAGCTGAGGAGGAATGCGTAACGTTCGTTTACCACACACGTATTATAGATACTAAACCAATTTGAGACGTGGATTCGTTAGAATGAACGTTACGTCGGGTAGCCCGAACGGCTGTCCGATAAATCACGCATCGTGCATCTAATCGCGAGATTAACAGCCGATCTTCGTATACATCACCCCGCATCTTTATAATTTCCGCTATAGTTTACAGTGCAAGTTGAACGTATTATTGATATTCGCATTGTGGCTGAAGGATTAAATAAAATCGCCAATTAAAAGTCCGCAATCGCATCTTTATCTACTCAAAATCAATCCACCGTTCGAGAACTCCGGTTTCTGCGGTTGCAGCGCAGCGGACGACGTCCGTTAACGATCTTCGTCACGGATTAATCCGCCACGAGCTATAACGAATCTCGAGTATTCCCGACGATGATTGAAAACTGGAAGTCGCGTTCCGGCGCGGCGGAAAGCTGTCGCACTTCGCCGTGTCGTAGATAGTAATCGCCGCCGTCTCTCCACGGCGGGACAGAAAGAGAGAGAGAGAGAGAGAGAGAGAAGGAGAAAGAAGAGAGGCTTAAACGCGGCGCACGCTTTTTTCCTATAACTCAATCACGGCCGTTACGTCGAACCAGGATGAGCCGTAAAGTCCGGCCATTAGAAACGTGCGGTGCGTCGCGCTGCACGACAAATCGCCGTGGAACAAAAGTCCCCCGTCCTACATTTCGCCGCGCCGCGGCCTACACAGCCGGCAGATGCGCTGACAAGCGAGAATCGCCTTAAAGGCGTCGCGCTCGACAGATTGCACTGGCGACTGATTGATGCACCCGTGAACAACAATCCAGCAGGCCCCGGCGTGCACAGCCAGCCACGGCAGCGCTTCCCTATTCATCTTCTTCTTGCGCCCAGGCGCATTAGCGACAATACCTATGTGCATTAAGGCGCCCGCACCGCGGCCGGTTTGGCCGTGCTACGTGGGTACGTAGCACGTACACTCCCCCCCTCCCCCCAGCAAGCACCAGCAAGCACCACTACCGCGCTTACGCCGCGAGAGACGCGATGCAGCCTCGCGAGTCGGCGAATCTCTCCTTCCCTTCCTCGCCGACTCGTCGAGCGGGACAGGAAGAAATTTCGTGAAAGTACACGCGAACGACTGTTCTCTCACAATTAGCGGACAAATCGTGATTCTCTTCGCGCGCATGTCGCCAGAGAGATTTTTACACTCTTCAACCGTATGAAATTCGCAGATGCTTTTTCCTCGAAAGCGTAAAACGCGCGTCTCGAGAGAGGAATCGAAGATAAATTCCGTGTTTCCTGTTATTACGCCGCACTGCTAACAAGTATAGATATGAGAAACACGCTAACGCGATACTTATTATTTGCCCGGATAATATATGATTTAATGTGATAATTTGTACATTTGTTTCATATATATTTATGATATAGGTACATATACAATATTTTACATGTATTAGCGAAGAATATTAATGATACAAATGAAAAATAGTTATAGTTGCATTTTTTTTAGCAGAAATATTTATCGTATCGTTCCAACGAATGAAACCCCATCGTGGCATAACTTATATTTATTTGGTAGCTACTTATAAACATGCTGCGTTTTTTAATCATAAATTTCGCCCGTCATAATTTCCGTATTGATTGACACGCGATCACGATTGACGCATGCCCTTACAAGAGGAAAGGGATACTTTTGACACGTAGTATCGCTGTTATTAATATCCTTTACCGATCTTACGTGCAGCCAACACCTACGCAATCAGCGGGGTTCCTACCTCCTTGGAATTCAGGTGTCTACCTGGTTGACATTTGACAGGCACGACGGCTACGGGATTTCTCTTGTGTGACATTCGATCGATGGATGTTCGATTCTATGATAATAGGATGTACCAGATAAGATAATTGCTACGACGATAGGGTCGACGACCAGCGTAGAATCTCGTAGATTTGGTTTCAAACGCGAATGGTCAACATGTCGGAAATTCGATGAAATTGCGATATTGATCATATAAAGCCTTTGAAGTTGCTTCAAAATTTGTAAAATCCATGTTAAAAAATGATAAGTGTCTCGTTTCGACTGGTTATAAAATTTGGTTTTTGCAATATATAGTGTAAAACAAATTCTCTCTAAGACAGGTTTTAGAAATGCTCAAATTATTAATGATTATTATTTATCACATGAGGCGCATTAAAAATTTTTAATCATTCAGCTTTTATGAATACTGATGAATATAATTTTAAAAGAATCGAATTTTTTTATTTTCAGGGTCGCATGCCGTTCATGCGAGCGATGAGCATGGAACAGCGGTGGCAAGATCTCGCGTCTCTTTTATCCCTGCCAGGAGCACCGGATCACTTCGCACATCCAGCGCATCCTGGATATCCAGGACACGGTATAAGTCACAGTCATTACGAGGCGCAACGTAACGTATTGCTCCATAATCCTACCTTAGCGCCTCCGGTTGGGGATCTCAATTCAACGGGACCTTACCACAATGTGGGTGAGTATTGCCTAAAGTTGCACGAAGCTTTGTTCCCATTTTATGTTATATTATTATCTCTCTCTCTCTCTCTCTCTCTCTCTCTCTCACTCAACGAAATTTCGCAATGCGAATTATTGAATTTGTATCATTGAGATAATTGAAGCTTGTACATCACGCGATGTATGCATCAGAAATTTACGAAATCCAATCTTCAGCTAAAATATTTTTTGTACTCGCGGCAAGCCTAATACGTAAGTTATATAATAATATAATTCACAATTTTACATTTATTATTCATTCATACTCTTAAAAACTTTAACTAATGATATTAATTTTTGCAAAAAAAAAAAAAGATAGGGGAAATGCAGTAAATAAAAATATCATCTAAGAAATTTCTTTGTCTGAACTAAGCTGCTCACTGTTACAGGTGGGTCGTCAAATTTGGGTTCAGCTGTGGCAACATCGATGAATTTGACAAATAGTAGTGAGCCAATGGGTGCAGAAAGTGGCGCAAGTTACAAATCTGAACCTAGTGATATGATGTATTATCATGCCCCGACGACAGATCCCATCAACCAAACCACTGACGGATTTCTTTCGTCTCTACTCAATGATGAGGACTTGCACCTAATGGACATGGCCATGAACGACGGTAAGTATTATCATCGCTTATGTTATTGTTACTTTGTATACGAATGTACATTCTTCTCCTAATATTAAAATCCTCTCGCTCATTAATATGTGTTAATGATTAACAAAATTTAAAGAACATACAGATATTTAAAAAAAATATGATAGAAGCACCAGTTCTAAGACTTTCATAAAATCTCTTGAGAACATACTTTAACGATCTTTAATTATAAGAAACTGCAGAAAATTGAAAATTAAAAAATTGATCATTTTTTGAAGATGAGATTTCTTAAATTTTTTTATGCATGTTAAATTTTTTGTATTGGTTAGATACAGAATTTACTAATCTGTATGTAATAAAAATTAGGCTGAATGTAAAGATAGAAACAAGGTTATAGTATTTTCTTAACATGATTTTCATTTCATAACGTGAAATCACTTTACACTATCCTTCCCATATATATTTAACTATCCTAATTAATAATGATAATAATGTATTAATTTCACTGTCATGTGTGAATGTGTTAGAACGTATTAAAGCAACTTATTATTGGAAAATTTATTTTCAAGAACGCAAAAATTTTTGTACAATCAAAAGTTTTATTATAAAAGTATAAAACTATATTGTATGTTATATTTATTATAACGTAAACGTATAAAAATATAACATCAAGAAACAAAATAGAATTGCATAAAACAAATCACAATCATGAAATATGAGTAATTTTCAATCTTTCGATAATCGTGTGGGAGATATAGAATATATACTTGATATTCTCGCACTATTAGTTTTAGGTAAATGCACGTGTTTTTAAAGTTGACAAAGTAATGTATGTGAAAACAACGGAAAAAGAAATCATTAATTATAGATTACATATTATATTTTTTATATGAAGATATATTCCCACGCGATTTTTCATATTTTGAAGTATACCACTAACAAGAATGACTTATCAATGTCAAACTGTATACTTTCAATGTCAAATCATATTAAGATGGTAATATCTTAATTAAATATTATTATTATGCTTAATTAAAGCAAAAGAGAAAATATTAAATCATAATTCTTAAATCTATAATCCAAAATTATAATTTTTTTTCAATTATCTACGATTTATACAATGTAAACAGTGTGTGTAATCTAAAAATCTTGTGTAATTTAAAACTATTACTGGAAATAACTATTAACTATATATCCAAGTCTGAGGTAGCAATATAAATTTAAATGCATCTTGCATTTTTTTCTCACTGTGAAGGAACGCAGTAATAAAAATATATCATAATAAACTAAAGAAAAAAAGGAACAAAAAACCAATTGTTCTGCTGATAGCACCTGTGGAAGTTATTGTACTTTTTAAAATTAAAGAAAGCAAAGTAGTATTTTACACATTGTGTAAAATAAATATGAAACTTCTAATTTCTACCATTCTTCTTCCGGTTCTGCTTGTACAGGAGGTGCATAACCAACGTCTTCATACATCTCATCACCATATGCATTCTTGTTCTGCACAGAGAGAAAAAATTATATTTATTTATACCATAGGCTTACGAATAATTTATGTTATAGACTTAAAAGCTCTAGTATGATCAATTCTTCTCCGTTATTTATAAAACGACTTATAATACATAATTTTTACTATTCAATGGCAAGATATTAAAAATATAATAGAAATTAATTGTTATCAATATTCGATAAAAAGTTTAAATTACGATATTACTTACGCCTCTAATATCTTCCCCGCCGAATCTCCTTCCCTTTCCTGGCATGAAGGTTCTGCTCCCGCCATTGCCACCGGATTCTAACCAGTCAGGTATCGGTTGACCAGCTTGTTTCAAAATTTTGATCAAATCATCAGTGAGAGGAAGATCAGTACTTGAATCAAAAAATGAAGTTGCTTTGCCGCGATTTCCAACCCGACCAGTTCGTCCGATTCTATGAACATATTCGTCGATCGTCTTTGGCAAATCGAAGTTAATTACATGAGAGACATTTTTAATATCTAAGCCTCGCGCGGCAACCGCCGTTGCCACCAAAATCAACATTTTTCCTCGTTTGAAATCATATAGAGCTTCTTCTCGTTCTCTTTGTAATCTATCGCCATGGATACTTGTTGTTGGAAAATTGCTCTCCGATAAGAAGGCCGCGATAAAGTCCGTATGTCTTTTCTGTTCAACGAATACTAAAGTACCTTCTATATTTCCTAGTTGATTTTGTTTCTCTATCAATTCTTTCAGCAATTTTCGCTTTTCAGACTGACCAGATGCTTGATAAAAGTTCTGTTCTACGTCAGCGCAAGCACCACCGACAATCCCAACTGCGAGGAATAAATAATTTCGTAAAAATCGACCCGCGAGTTCTTGTATTTCATTTGGGAATGTAGCGGAAAACATAAGTGTCTGTCTTTCTTCTGCAGGTGCCATTGTTTCATGATCTATTAACTTTTCAATATCGGGCAGGAAACCCATATCAAGCATTCTGTCAGCTTCATCCAGTACAAGAAAACGTAAGGAAGAAAGTCGAATCTTGCCTCGTCCCATAAAATCTAACAGTCTACCTGGAGTTGCAACTAGAATATGGCAACCGTTGAGCACTCTATTTGATTGATGCATAACCGATGTTCCTCCATAAGCAAGCTCGGCACGTATGATAGAACCTAAAGAAAATTTCTTGACTTGCTGATGAATCTGTGATGTAAGCTCACGTGTAGGCGATATAATAATTACTTGTGGTTCGCAGGAAGTGGACGTTTTAATTAAATCTTTTGGATTTTCTAACAGAGTGTGTAAGATAGGAACTACAAATGCCGCAGTTTTTCCCGAACCTGTTTGCGCGCAAGCCATCAAGTCCCGGCCGTTCATTACAATTGGAATGGCGTACTTTTGAACAGGAGTAGGTTTTGTATAACCTGACTTTTTGATATTTTCCAACAGGATAGTTCTAAGGCCAGATTGATCGAAGGATTGTATTGGACGCGGTCCATTCTCACCGCTCACTTTTACTTCAATATCATCATATTTAGCGAAGTTTATTCCCATTGTTACATCGTTTCCAAATAAGGAATTTTCATCATCAGGTTGCTCTGGTGGAATATAAATCTCCCTTTTCTTTGGTTCTTTATCGTCACCTTCTTTGGACTCATCATCGTTTCTTCTGCGTCTCCTGTTTTCGCCATCATTATCATCGTCACCTCTATTTTTACCGTAACCACCGCCTCTTCCACCTCTGTCATTATCATCGCCATCCCTGTTTCTACCGTAACCACCACCTCTTCCACCTCTGTCATTATCATCGCCATCTCTGTTTCTGCCATAACCGCCACCTCTTCCACCTCTATTTTCATCTCTATCTCTCCTGGGTCTGTCCTTTCTATCGTTCTGATAACTTCTGTTGAAGCCATTATCTTCAGTTTCATCATTATCATCGTTGTTTCGCCTACTATTGTCCCTATCATCCTTATTGCCTTGCCACCTACGATCATTGTTACCTCTGTTATTTCCATAACGCCTATCATTGTCTTGTCTGTTGCCTCCTCCAAATTTATTACTATTATCGCCATTATATCTATTATTTTCATTATCTTCGTTGTAGGTATTACTATCATAATTTTCTTCATTTGTTTGTTTACTATTATAGGAACCTCCTCCACTGTAATTTGTGTTATTGTTGTTGTATAATATTGCACCACGTCCTTTACCACGGCAAGGGGCGCGTCCTTCTTCAAACTGTTAAAACAAAATATCGATATTAATGATTATTTTATTGTTTTATTTTTATAATATATACTTAAAAAAGATTTAAATCATATATCCTTACGGAAGACATATTAACTGGCACCTGACCAAAATCTAACGTGTCGTCAATCCCCCACTGTTCCTCAGCCATTTTTACCTATAAAAAAAAAATTGCATGTTAAATACACATATAACATGTAGATATATATTTAATACAATAATAAATATTTAAATAATAAAATATATAATTAAATAGAAAATGTTTGTGTTCGACAATACAAATCATACTATAATAACTAATAATGTTTAAGATTACAAGATGATAAAAGTTATCAAATTTAATAAAATGATAAACGTATATCATTAAATATATAAATTGAAAAATGATGGATAAAATTTTGAATAAACTGAAAAGATGATCATTGTGTAACATAACGAGCTAATAAAAAAATAATTTTATTCTTCATAGAATGAAACATAGATTATGGACATAATCCAAAAAACATTAAAAATTGAAGATTCTGTTAAAATTCTAATCAATCAATAATTCACAAATATTAACATTATAAAAAATTACATACAATAAGGCTGTATTCTGTTTTACACAAGATGCGCCTTGTTATTCACCGAATATTAAACAAGAATATTAAACAATGATGCATTATACACATACGTGAAACAGAATGCAGCCTAAGATTACAAGATGTGATACAAAATTTTCTAAATGATTTCTTTCTAAATAACTATTCAATAAAAAATATAATTTAGTCTTCTAAAACGCTTGCTTGGCAATAAATGATGTTAGTCCATGTTAATGCTTGAGAAAACACTGTTTTTTGTATGCATTATTTTTTGCTTAGAAATAAGCATTGAGGAAATAAAAATAGAACAGGAAAAAGATATGGTCAACAAAGATATACAGCAATTGCTGCAGTTTCTATTTCTGTCTCGTGTCCACCAATGTAGACTTTTACTTCGATTCGACTCTTCTAGTTCTAAGAATTAGAAAAAGATGAATAAGTTAAACCGAGATTAAAATTAATCTACATTAACAGAAATGTCTGATCTCAAATATTACATTCTATATTCTTCTAATAATCTAAGGTCTGTTCTTTTTAGCTAATTTCTTGCATATTTTTTCTCCTTTTCTCTCCACATTGGAGAAGAAAAGAGAAAAAATGAATTGCAAGTTTAGCTAAACTAAAAAGGACAGGCCTATACATATACATTCCATGTTAACAGTACATTTTCTCTCTCTCTTTCTAATAATATATATTTCGTATTAACAATACAAAACACATTTTTCAATCAAATTACGTCAAAATCATTTATTATATCACTTTACATTCTGATGGCCTCGTTCTAGTTTTTGGATGTTTTGAGAATAAATTTGTATTTTTTTGTAATTGAAAATTTTCAATTTACTTATAGAGATACATTTTCTTACTTTCGTTGTAATGTTTACAATAGAATAATTGACGAAAGAACGGGTTTTTCGTCGAAAGTCCTTCAAACGATTCTATAACACACGTTTATTGCCAATAGAATTTCACCAATAGAAAAAAAGCGCGCGTACCGGCTTTCTCAAGCCATGTTGAAATTGTATAGTCAAGGTGTCTTTTATCGGGCGGCATTCTACTTTACACAAAGAACTGGTTTCGATTATCGGAAGACAATGTATCACGACGGTTGATATCCTGTATTTAACACATACATAATTACGACGCATATAATGTGTAATCACGTGGACGGTCGATAATAAAACAGTGCTGCTGAGTCGACATGGCCGCGATAAAATGCGTCGTTGTTTTCCCGGCTGGCTCACGTACCTCTGTCTTTGGTAACACCTTGTCGGAATTTCCCTGTCTTTCCTTGTGATATCCCAGAACACCGGACGAGTAGTTTAACACTAGTCAGCAACTGGCGTCGTATGTCGAGATAGTCGTAATCCTACACGTATCAAAGAAAACCAAGCTATCCGTGACGTTGGAACGAACTGCGAGAGAGATCTGCGTTCAGAGAGAGCCCCGGTTCAGCCCCGTGCCGCCGTTGTGCGCCGTTTCTCGACGAATCAGGTACGGCGAGGACTGGCGCGCGCGACGCGCGCATGCGTGTTGCTCGGTGCGTCCCTAGAAATCCCTCGAGTCACGCCAATGTGGCGCCGCCGCTGGCCCGGCTAAGCCTGAGTCGGCAAAACTGGACGTTTCCATTCTTTTGTTTGTCAATAGGTCCGTCGCGTTGCTCGTACTTTTTTTTATACGCAGCCTTTCTTCGCTTTTTCTCCCTTCAACGTCTGTATATATACTTATCTTCTTTTGAATGAAAAAATTTTTCGGGATTTCAAACAATGCAACGGATCTAATATCGACGTGTTGAGAAATAAAACAGATACCTACGAGTTTACAGGCTAAAGATGAAAAGAACTATTGTTGAGCCGAACATCTGAATTTATTTCTAGGTAAACACGAATCTTCCCTCTCGAGCGAAATATAAACCCATAAATTTTCTAGAAGAAACCTACCTACATTTTATTTATATAGATATATAATATGCGTAATAGTATTTATAATCTATAGATAACAATCTTATTAAAACATTGAAGATAAGGTTTATAAATTAATTCTATAAAGATATATAAAGTTAGATTGTTGTGGACACTGAAAACAATCGTACTCGTGCAAAATTAAAATAATTCATAAAAATATTGTCTTCAATCTTTTAATAAAATTGTTATCTGTTTATTATAGATACTATTCTTTATATAAACAGGTTATATCGCCGTTCCTAAGGCACGTACATAAAGCAAAAATAAATATGCTTTTATTATATAATTAAAATCTCGATTACTGATTGCAAAATCTTTCGATCCGTTATTGATGAGATGATCCAAAATATTCCCAATAGATGATCTGGTTGCTGTTTCCTATGCATACGATGAATACGTTTCGTATTCATACGTTCTTTATTGTAAAGGACAATCCTTTATTTTCCAATATTGTCCTTTATTGTCCTTTATTTTGACATAATGGGAAATTCTTTTCTAACTAGCGTTGCAATGTCTATAATATTATATCAATGAACAAATTTTTACGAGAAATATCTTACAGTTTTATGCATATAAATACAATCTGTTTTTGTTAATTATATTTCTTAATTTTTTAGAGTTGTTTTCATTTTTTATTATTTCGAATCTTTTATTATTTCAGATCAAAGGTTTGTTCCAATACAGTCGAACCAGTTTCAAACTATCAGAAAACTGCGCATTATCTCATTTAATTATACTGTGCAATAAAATGTTATAATGCACAATTTTTTGACAATCACGAACTGGTTTAAAAATATGTAGGGACAAAGTTCTAAAATTTTTAAATGTGTCCTTTATTTTCTTTAAGAAAATATGATCACCGTACCTATGCATGACTTGGCACATGTCTCTTGATAGATTCAATTTATAATTCTTTAATAAAAATATATTGTTATTTCAATAATTTATATAACGAGATCCGTTGAAACTGCATTAGACAATAAATTAATTTATATTGTAATAGATATAAAAGAATGTTCTTGTTTGATTAAATAAAATGTATTTGTATTCGTTAGTTTCCAAATTCTGTAAAATTAAGATTTCTTGTATATGAGATCGAAATTTCGATTCATGAGATTAAAATTTTATTCATCGAAATTTTATACTTTAGAACAAAAAATTGAATAGATCATTGAATGAAAATGATTGAACCGAAATTTAAAAAACTCTCAGTCTTTCATTTACTATTATATTTATTACATAATAATATTACATTTAATATACGAAATAATGTTATGTTTTTTTAGTTGTCTACATATAAATCGACATATTTAAATCTACATACGAGTATAGTATCGATATTATTTTGTCTACAAATGAGAAAGGTTTTTTCTTTATACATAAATATTCACATTTATTACACTCATTCTTTATTCGATTCTTTATAAATGAACTAAATAATTGAATGAAGTTGCAAATATTTCATTATTGTAAAAATTATTACCTTATTAACTGTACCAAACGTTATTGATTTGTAGCAGCGGTATTATAAAGGTCGTAGTTGAGGCAATAAATAATATATTTATGGCAATGCATCGAGTTTATTTCTCAATATAAAATTAAATAAAAATCTCGAAATAAAATTTTATTATTACTCTATTCCAACTAATTTTTCAACTGTTTTTTAATATTATAGAGTTATAGAGACATGTAACAAAATGAATTTAAATTATAAAATAACTAAATTATTAAATTATAAAATGATTTATTCACATTTTATTTCAAAAATTAATAATGCTAAAAGCTTGTATTTTGTGTTTTCGACTTCGATATCGCCTAGAAAGTTTTGTCTGTCATAAATTTGGATCAGATGTATGTCGGCTTATAAAAATGTATTACCCCAACTTCTGAAGTGAAATATAGCGAAAGGGGGGTAATAGCGTCTGGTTTATGTCAGCAGTCGGTATTGTAAAGGACACAAATGAAATCATGTGGTACTGTACAGTGGAGAGAAAGAAAAAGTAACACAAAACAGAACACGTTTTCTTCGCTAAGAGATAGTGTGTTTACGCGGCGGTCGAAAGATATATCTAATATTACTTTAGTCTTCATGTGTGTTTACATAACACTTTCGCGAGAACACGATTTTCTGAATTCCTCGGTAAAGAAAGAGATGGGAAAAAAATAAACACAATAAAGGAATGTGATTTTTTTAAATATTGTTTCCAACACATTATATCTCTCTCTCTCTCTCTCTCTCTCTCGACAACGTTAATATTATTACTGTTGATAATTAATTAATTTATCAATAAATTAATATTTTATATAAACATATACAAACAAGAACAATATAAACTTCTAAAATACTACGAGAAAAAATAAATTACTTATAAGTAATGAGATAATAATTATACATAATTATGTATAATTATTACTTATAATTATTCATTATGTATTATTACTCTTAACAATTATTTATTTAGTTTTTCTAATTTTAAAAGTTTATAGTTTATATCTTTATGTTCTTCTTAGTATGTTTATACAAAACATCAAACACATACAGCATCATATAATACGATATATGTTATTGGGAAACATTAATAATGTGGAAATATCTATATCATAATTCAGTGTACATATTATTTTAATGTATCAGGTCAGGCTTGCGCGAATATTTTTTGTCATTGTTTTAACTTCGCGTTGAGGTATAAAAAGTTTCCTATCGCACATACGCAACTGACACTAATCTGTAAACGCTGAGTCACTCCGTATCGCGTCGAGTTTCGTATTATTCTCAAAGCACCTTTGTTCATGACACGAATATAAACGCGATAAAAGATCAAATCGGCAATATGGAAAACTGTCCGCGTTATACATTTAAAACGTGCGTTTAGATTGCACGTAAATACATGATACAAATCTAGAGTCCAATGTTCATATGTCTATATAAAATCAATTGTGTGAATAATTTGTAATTATTGCACTATTTAATTTTTTTTTGTTCGTTATATTATTTCCCTAATATATTTTAATGAATTTCTCATTTGTTCACTTCTCAACATTGATTTTAACTCGCACTTTTTACGAGAAAGAAACATAGTAGGCACATACAGAGTGCTAAAAGTATTCGTACAGTGAAAATATTTTTTAAAGAAACTTTATTTTTAAAAAGTAAATATTATCCAGCGAGAGAAATGAGTCATTGAATTGATGTTGAATCGATATCGATACGATGATTTTAACACTAATTTGACATCGATTCGACATTTAATTGACGATCATGTCTTGTTAGGTAATTAACAATTTATTCATAAAGAATAAAATAGACTGTATATTTCTTAAAATTATATATACTAAAAAGATGTGTATCAATTATAGAAAATATATCATCTGAAAAATAAACGAAAATTAAAAATTGTATTGTTTAGATGCTCAAAAAATATTCGTACAATCATGAAATTTAGCTTCTAAAATCAGGAATACAACAGCGAAGCTCGTTTGTTTATGTTAGAACAAAATGTATTTGTTTAAAATTGCTAATTAATGTTTATTTTCTATAAATAAGACTTATTTTATTTACAAATTTATATACAAATTTTCTTGTACGAATATTTTTTGCTCTCACTGTATTTGAATTAATATCTGAAAACTTTAGTTTATTGAGTGATAGTGACGTTATTTATATTTAAATTATATAATAAGCACACAGTAGATATATTTTTTTATATTGACTATATACTGGTATATGTTAAATTTAACGTTGTATGTGTTGATGAAATTACAGTGACACCAATTTCTCGCATTTCCATACAATGACAGTCAAACTTATAAGAGGCGCTTCATCATTTTTCCTTCCTGTGGCAATGCCCCTATGTCAGTGAAATCCATGAATTGTTATCCTTAAACGACTACTTCTTATTACACGGAAAGAATGATTTTACTGAAAGAAGTATCTAAAAATTTTGTTAGATAGATCTGAAAATAATTTTGTTGGATCATTAAAATAGTTACAAATAATTAATTAAGAACTCAAACATAATGAGCAAAAAGTTTTTAGTTTTGAACACTCTAGCAACCAGCTTGAATACATATTTTAATTAATATTAATTTTTTACACTTCAGTAGAACCTTTCCGTGCATATACAACGATCCTCTATGTTCGATAATTATTTCACACGTAATTCGCTTCAATCGTTCTGCGCGTCTCCTGACCTCCCCTACTCTTTATCAGTTTTATAGCTTTATCTATCGTTAGTAGACCACAAATATCAGTGTTGTAATCATCATTTGAACTCTTTCTTACGAAAGCGTTGTGTTTTTCGACGTGGATAATGAAATGAAAAAATTGGATAATCGCGACGCGGTGTGAGCTGCATCATCGGTATGAACAAACTGCGATATTCCCCGCTCGTATTCCCGGCGTTATCAGAGTTACGTCGTCATTCGCCACGAGGATGCATACGTAAGTGTGTGTGTGCGAGTGATACGCACAGCCGCCCACACAACGCACG